GTATCCATCGCTGCAATGATGATGTGAATGCCTCCAGCTAGGGTGCTCATCTTATGACATCAGGCAGTGTTTAGTTGTGGTTCATAGCATTTTCAGTGGCTGCTTTTCAAAAAGAAATCACAAGAGCGCTCATCTTATAGTTTGGAAGCTCTGTTAAAATACTGGTCATTTAACATACCAGAGGCAGAGCTTCCCACATCTCAGCAACATGCAAGGAACCCGTCTGACAAGCTGAATGACAGGTGGCAAAGGAGCAAAGACAGTGAGTCCACCCTGACTCACAGTGACCACCTCAAGACAACTAGAAGGACCGTTCCAGCGTCAGACTTCCCCAGGGCTTGGTTGAGACTTCCATTAGGATTGCATGCACCTGCCGCTTCGTTTTTCCCCCTTTCTTTCCTTTCTTCCCATCCCACAGATGTTATTCTCAAGAGCACTTTTTAATAATCCTTCTGCATGTTAATATCAGCATCAGAATCTACTTCTTGGGAAACTCAGTTTTTGACTGGCTACTCCAACAAAAGTCCTATGAAGTAATTACCAACCTGCAATGGGAAAATCCTTGGTTACTTGTATTGATCATCTGCAATGGCAGAGATACTCTCACAATTTTGCTGAAACGATTCCATTTAAATCCTAGAATAACTTCTCTGGGCAGCTCAACAGCTGAACACTATCAGGACTTCAGAGTGGTTTGCAGTTCGAACCACAGATACACAGAATCAGAATATACAAGTTGACCCTAATCTTATGTATATGGGGTGAAAATGAAAATTTTCAGCAAAGGATCGAACTGGAATGAACTGATTTAGAGCCCTGGATAACATCCACTTGAAAGTTTAACTAAAATATATTAAGAGGCAGTTTCCTCAAATGATATCTGTGAAACTTACATCTCTAAGAGTTGCAGAAGCAAAGTTCATTTCATAATGAGTCAGTTCCCACTCAGTTTAAAGAAGAAGTGAATATGCCTTTTAATTCACAGTGGGAAGTAATTCATATTTTTGATCTTCTTCCGTCCATCACTACATCAATCGTCATACCAGCTAAAACATCTGTGGAAATAAAGTTTGTCCCTACTTCCCAATCCCTTCAGCTGTGTTGACCCACTTAGTTTCTAAGTCATTTTTGTCCAAGATTGTCTCTTTAAGAGAAGGTTAAAGTTCCCTCAGAGGTAGACCGGGATTGGTTTTGCTCCACTAAACTCGGTGTTTGAAGGTGATTACAGGCTTAAGAACTAGAATATGTCATAAAATGTCATTGTTGTCAAAATTTCTCTCTCCTAGGACTCTGGGTTCCAGAGCTTTGTTTGGGACACCCAAGTGAACAGGTTTCAGCAGAGCTTCCGGACTAAGAACAGACAGTGAAAACTGAATAGACTGTCCACTTCTAAGTATTAGCCACCGAAGACCTTGTGGATGGCAGCAGAAAATTTTCAGAGAGAGTGCCAGATGAGAAGCTCTTTAGGTCAGAAGGCACTCAAAATGTAACTGAGGAAGAGCTGATTCTACTCCTTTGGGAGCAAAGTCTTCAGGGCCTCCATTTGCTTTTGGGGCAGTACTCAAAATGAGAAGAAATTGCTGCAAACATCAATTAATAACTGGCACTTGAAATGTATGAAGTATGGATCTATGGAATTGGAAATCATCAAAAATGAAATGGAAGGTGTGTTAGTCTGGGTACTTTAGAGAAACAAATCCACAGAAACTCATGTATAAGAGAGAGTTTTATATAAAGGGTAAGTGCACATCAGGAAAACATGCCAACCCAGTGCTGCCCAAGCCCACAAGTCCAACATTAGCCCATATGTCCAACACCAATCCACACAGTCCTCCTCCATCTCACAAAACAGATGCAATGACACCGACTGCAGGAGGAAAGCGGAGTCAGTGAACGTGTAAGCATCTCAGTGCTGGCAGGGGTCTCCACACGGCTGCTCCAGCAACCAAGGCTGCATCAGAGTGGGTCCATGAGGCTTCTCCTTGAGGATGTCTTGCAGGAATTGAGCCTTACAAGCTGAAGCAGGGAACCGGCTAAGGCGGCTGCACCCTGGTCTGTCCATCAAAAAGCAAGAGACCCTAGAACCCGGAAAGGCAAGGCTCACCGAGCCATTTATCCCTCCGCCCTTCAACTAACCCTACGTGTGTTTGTCGGCCAGGTTGGAACAATAAACTTTAACTATATCAGAAGGCACACAGATAAATATTTGATGTGTTATTGAGCTGAAATGGCCTAGTATTGGCCCATTTAGATCAGAAAATCACACGACTTTCTATGCCAGGATTGATAGATTCAAGAGAAATGGCATCACAGTAATTGTCAAAATTTACATTTCAAGATCTATCTTCAGGATAAGATCAGATCTATCCTCATACAAGGAAATCCAATCAATACAACTATTATTCAAATTTATGCACCAGTTACTAAAGCGAGTGATGCAGAAATCAAAGAATTCTACCAAAGTCTTCAGTCTGAAATTGATGAGACATGCAATCAAAATGCATTAGTAATTATTGACAATTGCAATTCCAACAGTAGTTGGAAAATATGGTCTTGGTGACAGAAATGAAGCAGGCGATCACATAGGAATTTTGAAACACCCATGATTTCTTCATCACAAATACCTTTCTTTTTTCCAGCAACACAAAAGGTGACTATGCACGTGCATTTCTCCAGATGGAGTACCCAGGAATAAAATTGACTGCATCTGGGGGAAGAAATGGTGGAGAAACTCAGTATCAGCAGCTAAGCGCCGGTCTGTGGAACAAACCATCAATTGCTCAAACATGAGGTAAGCTGAAGAAAATTAAACTAAACCCAAAAAGAGCCAAAATATGACCTTGAGTCTATCCCACCTAAATATCTAGAACATCTTTCTCCTCTACCCACACAAAGCTAACGGCACTACTTGTGTGCCTCGCAAGGACCATGATTAAGAATACTGATGAGTTTTTTAAAATTTATTGTCAACCCCTTTACAAGTATGAGCCACTGTCATCATATATACTTAGCGGCATAAGTTATTACTAAGAGTCACAGGTGATTGAACAACTAAAATATTTAGTAAGAATCAAAAGAAACTGAAATCAAGCTCATAGCCCTCACATCAAGTCCAAGGATAGGGTAGAGCAGCCCCTGTTGGTTTCTGAGAAGGAAGTTGCAGCCAACTCCTACTGAGGAATAAAAGCAGCATTCAGATCAAATCTTCAATCCCCAAATCCTGTACCTTTCATGCAGCTACATGACGAATATTTCAAGTGTCCAGAAATAGAAAATGACTCCCCAGGAGGTAAAAAGGCTATAGCCTAATCCTGAGGGAGCAGTTAGTGGTTGGTGCACTCTAATTTTAGAAAGACTGGTTTATATTGAGGGGCTTTTAATTAAGTCGACCATCCATTGGAAGCATCCAACCTCTATATAAAAAAGTGGAGCAATATAAATGAGCCGGCTGCGTTCTTACGAGGAACATTAATTAATGAGTTTATGAATGAGTGAGGTAATGGGACTCAAAAGCAAGAATTATAGTCTACACCATCTCAATAGCCCCTAACATCTATCAGTACCTTGGAGAGCTTCCAAACTTATGTCACCAGCCCCTCACTCATCATTCTGAGAAAACAAACAGACTTTAAAGGAAAATGGGAAGCACTGCACACTGATATCTCCCGTCATTTTCAAAAACGAAAGACTATTTCACTGCCTCGCTTTTCTTCCTGAAAAGTCTTCCCTGTCGCTCCACTTTGAATAAAATTGTCCATGTGGTCTATCTCTGTGAGCTGTTTGATTTACGTAAACAGAATTAAGTTTGCTTGTTTAATCCTTCCTCAACTCACTGTCCAATTGTCCGATCTTTTTTTGACCCTATAGGATGGCGTAGAACTGCCCCTGTGGGTTTCCAAGACTAACTTTTCATGAGTAGAACGTACATCTTTTTCCCTAGTGAAAGTAAGCGGGGTTTGCCGGGTGCAGTTGGTTTCGAGCTACTGACTTTCTGGTTATCAGTCCAATTCACGATCCGCTAAGCATTCCTTTGCCACGACTGCAAATACAAAATATCCCCTTTCTAAAGAACGCACAGGAGAAAATCAGCTTCCCTTTCGTGGTCCGACTTTGCTGTGAATACACGTGGCCACTGGTTTTTAGTCACATGTACGTGTACGTGCTGCTTCTGAAGACCGCAGGGAAGCCGAGTGCAGGCATCCACAGGTGCAGGAGAAAGATGCTGGGCTAAAAAGGACGCGAGAGGGGAGAAGGTGTTTGCACGCGCCCCGCACACCGCGTCGCATGCAGAGCCGCGCGGTTCCTTCGGCCTCTTGGCCTCCTGGGCTGCACTGCGGTTTACGCGAGTCCCCGACTCTCCGGCCGCCCCTCTGTGCACGCGCGCTCCATTCCCCTCGCGAGCACTGGCTCCCTCGCGGGCGCTACACCTGCCAGGTCACAAACCCCTTCCTCGCGTCTCCTTCCCTCCCCCTCAGACGCTCGGTCTTGTCTCACGTTCATTGGCCAGTGCCCCCAGGGGGCGTGTCCAGAAAACAATCCCTCCCGCCCACCTAGTCCTTCTCACCCCATCTCGCCGCTCCCGGTGCCTTCTTTGTGACTGGCGCGCGCACAGGTCACTCAGTGCGGCGGGAGCGCTGCGG